AGTGTTAATTTAAAGAAAATAATCTTGAATTACACCAAGTGAACTTAAAATTTTATGGGTGAAGTGACGGCATGAAGCATGGGGTGATTTCTCTTCCAACACCACTTCCTTCTCTTCTCCCTTCTCCTCCACCCCCACTTCTAATTCCCATCATCATCATCATCAACCAGGAGCCTTCTACATACACACCTCAAAGTAAGTGTACTTTACTGCATTTATTTTTACTTTGTATGTAATTTTCGGTGAGATGGAACCAATTACCCAAAATCCCATTGAAACAATGGTTTCAGTTCACGAAATTTTCGGTTAACGAACGACCTTCTGGAACGAATTGTGTTCGTTAACCGTGGGACCACTGTACCGACGTTAGTGATCGAGCTGTGTCCTAACAAAATTTTCGTTTGTTATTCCCTTTAAAATAGCTGGCAAGCATAAAAGTGAGAGTTCTCGTGGTGCTGAGAAGAAAAAGAGACACCCATTTTAGAATTTCTATGTACCCTGTATTATTTTCGCCTTTTCGACTTACGACCAATTCGACTTACGGCCTGGTCGTTGGGACGAAACCCGTCATAAGTCGAGGAGAGACTGTATTCCGTATTTGCTGGCATATAAGACGCACGACCGCATAAGATGCACCCCTATTTTAGAAGGATATTTTGTGGATTATTTTTCTAATATGTTTCGTCATACAATTATTGAAAGTGATTTTAAAGTGGTTTTGTAGGGGAAAACAAATGATTTTGTGCATGTAAATACAGTAAAGCTACCAATAACAATGGTTCGACCAACAACTTTTCATATTTAGGACCCTAGTAAATTTAGTACCCAATTCAATTTACGTCCTTATTTCATTCGTATTTACTACCAAAATGAAAAAAATTAAATTTTCATATAAATAATAACTAAATCCCAATAAGTATTATAAAAAAAAAACTGAAAAAAAAAAATTAAGAGCGCCTTGTGCAAAGAAGCTGCCTTGCTAATGAGTGGTAAACAACAGTCAGAACTTGGCGGGCCTTTTGTTTCCTCGGTGGTAATAACTGGCAAATCCTGTGTTTCCTCCTCCACCTCTTCTCCAACATCGATGTTCTGGAGTGCATCACTAACGTGTCGGCGTCGTGTGAGGTTCCATGTGATTAATGACTGCTGGCGTTCGTTTATCTTTCACTGGTATCTTGGCATAAATGTGTTGGTGATGGCCTCCACTTTGCTCACCAGTGATGCACGCTCATTCTCATTCTCGGACAAATCTTCAACCAGTTCTTGGAGGTTCTAACAAGTGCTGAGTATCAAAGACAAATTGCTGGTTGTGATCCTGAGTTCCGGTTCCTCTTCCGCGTCGTCTTCACCTGCTTCGTCAGATGACTCATCAGCCACATCATCCAGCATTTCTTCATCATTCTCCTTAAGCATCTCGTTGATCTGTTCTGCATCCACCTCACAGAAACCTGGGGCTGGGACACTCCTTGCACTTTCTACCGCAGCTTCTAATAAATCCGCCTGACGCTGCACAGCCAACCTTGCGTTACTCAGGTGTGGGAAGAGGGGTTTCCAAGCATGTTTAATGGTTGCCAATGTGATTTTGTTCCCTGCAGCTACCATGTGGTCCACAGCATGTCGGATATGAAATTGCTTCCAGAATTGCTTGACAGAGAGCACATTCTGTTGAGTGATGTCACTACGGGAGTTGCTAGCAGGGTCTTGCTGCAAGGTGGGGGAGTTGCCAGAGGTGCCGACTGAAGCAGGGTCGTCTTCCACATCGCTATCATTAGCGTTGTTGATTTCGTTCACTTCATCTTGAGAGTCTGTGGCTTTCCTCATTCTGTCATGAACTGCCTTATTGTAAAGCAACTTCACGTGGCAATTATTTCTTGATCAAGTGGTTGCAGTATGGAGGTTGTATTGGGGGCAAGAACACCACCTGAACATTAGGTTGTCTGCCAACCAGATACCGGGCATGGCCAGGAGCACTGTCCATAAATAGAAGCACTTTAAAATCTAAATTCAAGTTCCGGCAGTCATGTCGTGAGTCAGGCACAAAACACTCATCAAACCACTAGTGGGATATATTTTGCATCATGTAGCCCTTGTGATTTTGTTTCCAATACACATTCAAGTTATTTAAATCAAAATTATGGTAGGAATGAAGCTTCTTTGATCGGTAGATAACTAAGGGTTTCATCTTATGCTGACCTGATGCATTTGTGGTTAGTAAAGCAGTGAATCGGTCTTTAGCCATCTTTACCCCACATGCCTGTTTGTCATCCTTTGATATAAAAGTAGCACGGGGAGATTTTTTCCAGTAGAAACCCATTTCATCACTGTTATAAATTTGATCCAATGAGTATCTACCTTCTTCTACAAGTTGCTTTGCTATCTCTGTTAATGAAGTTGCAGCCACCTCATCTGCAGACGAAACTTCTCCACGGTACAGTGCATATTTCACACCACGTCTCTTAAAGTTGCCAGCCAGCCAACAGAGGCACCAAATTGAGGGGGATTATTTATGTTTTTCTTGCGACATATTGCAGCATAAAACATCAGGGCTTGGTCTCAAATTTGTGATCCATCAACACTTGCAGTTTCTGTCACACGGCGGGCAAGCCACTTGCTCAAAAAATGTTCTGTCATAGCTATCAGCCCGGTTTTCTCAGAGGATTCATACACAACTCTATTTGATGCACCAACATTTCCACCAAAGAACTTCTTTGCCACTTCTAAAGACTTCTTTATCTCGTCTTTCTTTGCCTTTATTGACCTGATTGTGCTTTCCGGAAAACCAGTAATCTTTCTTATCTCACTAGTTTTTAGGTCTTCCCCAAGTAACTTAATCACACGCTGCTTATCCTGCATCGAGTACTTGGCAAACTTAACTCTTTTATGATAGTCCCGCTTCTCCTTTTCCTTATTTGGCTGCTTAGGTGGGTCTGCCCCACTATCACCAGTAGGACCCCCAGTAGAGGTAGAGGCCATTATCTTGACTCGACAGGTGGTAGCACCAACAAAAAAAGCACACAATTGCAGCCCAGGCGGTCGCTAGGATGGCGCGGGAATAACTGGTATGATGGTTGTGACGTCATTCAAGACGGTGGCCAGCGTTCAGCTGGCTGGATCTTGCGAAACTCACAATATTTTACGCCAAATATAAGACTTGGTTACATTAGGAAGTGCTCCCGAAATTCAAAAATACGAAATGAAATAGCGCGAAATATGAGATCTTACTGTACAGTACAGTATATATACAGTACAGGGGTATTAATATATTACAGTTACAGTAGTTAGGTACTGTACTAAATTACAGTACAATAGTTAGGTACTAAATTACAGTAGTTAGATACTATTTTACAGTACAGTAAAAGTCCAAAAATCCGGATGCCAGGAATCCGGACCACCCGAGAATCCGGACTTTTCGAAAACTCAAACTTTTTAAATTTAGCGGGCTTTTGTGGGTTATGTGAATGAATGGAGTTGCTTTAAAAAATTAATTTACATAATTCTAATAATAAAAGTACAGTTAATTGTAAATTATAGGTAGCTAATTTTGTTAGTTTGTAATTAGCTTGAACTGAAATGTAAAATTTGAGGCACTATAAATCTTTTGTGTGTATGTGTGCATGCGTGAATGCCACAGCTGCACAACGACAACAAACGACCACACGATCCCCACTTTAAAACAAGCAATCAAACTGTGACAACGTATGTAATTTTGAGTCCTACTCTTTCCATGTACAGAGTACAAGCCCATAATAATGGCCCCTAAAGTAGATAAACTTTAATGTGTGAAGAGAAAGAAGAACACATTGAAATTGAGTGACAAACTTGAAATAATTAAGAAACTAGATCGTGGTGTGAGCAATACTGTTCTAATGGAAATATACGACATTGGAAAGTCTACAATTTATGATATAAAAGAGGCAAAGAATAAAATTCTAGAATTCACAGCTTCTTCTGAGCCTTACATAAAAATTGCTGAAAGAAAAAGTTTACATTGGCCCAAATTAGAAAATCTTGATAAAGTGTTGCACGAATGGTTTTTGTTAAAACGATCAAAAGGTATGGCAATTTCTGGGCCGATACTTATTGCCAAAGCAAAGTCTTTTAAGGAGCAAATGAACATCGAATCAGAGTGCACATTTAGTGATGGATGGCTTAGGAATTTCAAGACTTGTCATGGTATTAGACAGTTTGTTTACATTTTTGTCTAGTGTTGACTATATTTTTCTTTAAAACTGCTCGTTTTGATAAATGAAGCATGCTTTATTTGCTAATGAATAAACTATCAAAATGTACCTGTTCATCTCTTCTTTATTCCTCCTTAAATTTTAATTTTAAAAGTACTGCCTGAGAATCCGGAAAATCCGAAAATCCGGACCGACCCAATCCCCAAGCAGTCCGGATTTTTGGACTTCTACTGTACCTGTACTGTAGATAGGTACTAATTACAGTAATTAGGTATTCAATTACAGTACCCTGTAATTAGATACAATACACATATTGGGGGTTTTCTTGTCATTGGGGAACCGTACCATATTTTCCATATGCTGCGCTATTTGCGATATAAATATTCACTTAACGAATGGTTCTCACAAAACCTATACCATTTGCATGGCGTGGAATACCTGTACTGGTGAAGTTTTGCACGGAGGTAAGCTGAGTTGGTTTGGGTATGTGGAGAGACTGAATGAGACCAAATGGGTCCAGAGATGCATGAGCCTACATGTGGAAGAAATGAGAGCCAGGGGCATGTCAAGAATGATTTGAGGGAAAGTTGTATGAAATGACAATAGAGGCCGCAGGATGGAGGGCTGCCATCAGGTAATTGCAGCTAACTCACGCAAGCATGGAATGTGGCTGTAAAAAGATGATGATGATTATTGTATTCTGCAGGTTTAGACATCAAGTGAATAGGTAATACAGTACTGTATAGCATATTTCAAACATCTCAAAATCAGCATCTCACCAAAGTGGTTAATAATCATACAAAACATATAATTCCTTACTAGATCATCAGCAACAATGATGACAATATGTGGGTGAACTTGGTCAGCTCCACAACTGGTGTGCAAAAGTAGAGAGAGTTCAATAAGCAGCATACAGAGACCAAGCTGGGTCATCATGAACCTCACACACCTGCCCACAGGAAAAACATATGTAATGGTAAAGCTATACAGTAATCTTAAAACAAAATCAAAAGTAATCACTACATTACAGACAATATTTCTGTTATAATATGATACACAGGTGTTGTCATGATTAGTGGGTTAGGTCACACAAGACATCGTGAACTATCAAATCTTGAATTACGGTAAACCCTCAAAGATCTGGACCCGGTAAATCCGGATTTTGGAAGATTTGGACAAAAAATTTGGGGGTTCTGGGCTAAGAAGCCTCCCTAAGGAACATTCCCAAAACAGGGTGAAGGTAGTTTTAGGCTTAAAGTTTTTATCTTATAAAATGTCACAGACTAAAATTAGCAGAATATAACTTGCATTGCTGGAATCCTTGCAAGATAGTGAATAATTTGAGTAGGTATAGACATCACAAAGTTTGCACAAGAGATAAAAATTTTAGTCCTTTAGTGTACAGTAGTACATTTAAGTACAAGTTTTCAACTCTTATTTTCGGGTAGATATACGTAACTTTCTTCATTTATTTTTACTCATTTACATGCACACACCATCCTAAATACATATTGTGTTAAAAGTAAAAGAAACAATTGTCTTAAGGGCAAACCTGTACTGTACTCAAATGTTCTAAATAATTACTTAATTTTTTATATCTAGTGCAAACTATAGCATGTTTATATTCAAATTAATCACCATCTTACAAGAATTCCAGCAATGTAAGTTATATTCTCCAAGTCAATTCAGTGACAATATATAAGTGAAAAACCACTCGGTAACTTTCGCCACCGTCTGTGTCAACACCTCACCTCCCCCTCGGCCAAAACACCCGCTATAACTTTGTTTTTTTTTCTAAATTTACATCAACTTAATTTCAGTGGTAACTAAATATTCTTAAAACATACTTTGTGAGCATAAAAGCATCTCATGCTAATCACTAAAATTATTAATAAAGACAGAAACAAACCCACTGTGATCGACCCTGGCAATGGCTGCTTATGTGTACAGTATAATGTAAAAAGTGTCCATACTGCATCAAAAATTTCAATGAAAGCATTATGTAAATGAAGAAGTATGTAAAGTATCAACATTACCAGACCATGGAATTAGTCAAATAAATCAAGTTGCTTTAAAATATTCTGGTCCCAGGCTGCAGTGTGCACCTCACATCTCGCCGAGTAACTCGAGAGTTTTCAAATTCATGAGTCTAGACTCCTGGGATTCACACCTCACAGAGAGGGTAGATCGACAATGCCCAGTAAACCAGTCGTTAAAGTCTCCAAATGTGCAACCTTTGGTATACTGCTTGGTGTTTAGGATGTACAAGGTCATCTCTCTATCTGTTTCCAGTGCAGACATCTGTACCTGTTCCTATTAGCAGCCTGGGTATCCTTGTTATGATCCAGACTGATCCCTTTTAGTGTATATGAAGAATTGGCTGTCGTTGATGTCATATTAGCTCCTAATTTACATATACAGTACTTACAGTACCTTACTGTACTGGGTACCTCCTTCTTGGTGTCTACACATACCCCTTAAATTTCGCGGGTTTAAACAACACGGCCCTCGCCCATCCACGGATTGCACTACAGGTTGCATGGGGATCAAGGGAGGTTGTGAGTGTGCATCTGAAAACTTCCACTACTGGTCTTGAGTACGTTACCCCGAGTGCTACTAGTGCTGCCAGCACTAGTGCATTTGCATCCTGCCCTGAATTAATCTGCCGCCCTATTTTGGTGTCATCCGCAAACTTGCTTATGTCACTGCTGATCCCAGTATCTAGATCGTTTATGTAGATTATGAACAAGAGTGGGCCCAGTACTGACCCCTGGGGAACCCCACTGGTTACACAGCACCACTCAAATTTAACACCATCTACGCTGACCCTCTGTGTTCTATCGGTGAGCCATGATTTTATCCAATTTAAGACTTTCCCTCGATACCATGAGCCTTAACTTTTCTCAGAAGCCTCTGATGCGGTACTCTGTCAAACGCTTTGCTAAAGTCTAAAAAAAAAAACATCGTAATTTTTGTCATTATCTACTACCTCGCAGACTTTCCTAAAAAAGTCAGCAGATTTGTTAGACAAGATTTTCCCTTTGTAAACCCATGTTGAGAGTCGCAGACTAATTTGCTTTTCTCTAAATGCGATCGGATGCTATTTGCTATACAGTAATTGATTCAAGAAATTTCCCCACAACTGAAGTCAAACTAATCGGCCGGTAATTTGACGCTGATGTTCTGTCTCCCTTTTTGAATATAGGTACTACATTGGCCTGTTTCCACAGTCTGGCACAACCCCCGTGTCTAAGGATATCGTAAATAAATTTACGAGGGGTCTGCTAATCTGTTCCTTACACTCTTTCAGAACTCGAGGGAGAATTTCATCTGGCCCCGGGAACTTTGTCCACTTTAATTTATTTATCTTCTTAAGAACATCCTTTTCTGATAATGATATTCTTTTATTTCTCTTCTTCATTTCCCCTAAATATCAGTCCCACCTCAGGAATTTCCTAGTGAATTTCTTCTGTGAAAACTGATAGGAAGTAGCTGTTTAATGCTTTGCTTATTTTCTCACTATCATCGATCACCTCTCCTCTCTCTGACTTTAAAGGCCCCACTTTGTTCTTGACCTTTGTCCTATACTGTATACCTGAAAAAATCCCTTGGGATTCGCCTTGGATTCTCTTGCTATCCTGATTTCATAGTCCCTCTTTGCCTTCCTTACATTTTTCTTAACATTCCTAGATAGTTCATTATACCTTCAGTGTTTCTGAGCTGCTCCTCCCCTCCCTTGAATTTCTTATAAATTTCTTTCTTTATTCCTATGTCATGTTTAAGTTTTTTGGTCATCCACCTTGGCTCATTTTTTTTACCTAATTTTTCTGTATGGTATACTTTGTTCTTGTGCTTTACGTAGTATACGAGCGAATATATTATACCGGTAGTCATGATCAATTCTTGTGACACCTGTGACCTCACCCGCTCCTACTGGGGACTGACCTAACTGTTCCCAGGCGAACTCACATAGGTACCTTCTTAACCCCTGATAATCCGCCAATCGAATGTTTGGGACTCTGACCATATTGTCATTGTTTTTCATTCCCAATTTAGGGTGAACCTGATTTCTCTGTGATCACTGTTTCCTAGTTCTTCCCCAACTGTGATATCTCTGATAATATTTTCTTTATTTGTTAATAATAGGTCTAATATATTGTCACCTCTAGTAGGTTCTGTAATTAGTTGTTTCAAAAAATTGTCCTGTACTGCATCTAGGAAGTCTTCAGATTCATAGTCGCCTACAATGTTGTCCCAGTCAATATTTCTGAAGTTGAAATCCCCAATTATGCACAGGTTGTTGTATTTTGCTGCCCTACTCATTTCCTGCCATATGAGCTAAGCTGCTTCTTTCCCAAGACTTGGGGGCCTGTAAATCACTCCCATAATTAGTTTTTCTCTTCCTTCCGCAATTTCTACCCATACAGACTCGGTTCCAATTTCACCCTTTATTGAATTATTAATTCAACATTTTAATGTATCCCTGATGAAGAGTGCGACCCCTCCCCCCTTCCTACCTTCCCTGTCCTTGTAAAAAAGGTTGTACCCTTCTATGTGGTACTCTGATAAAAAGTTCTTGCTCGCCAGATTCATCCACGTTTCATTGACTGCTATGACGTCTACATTCTCGGTACATACAACCGCTCTCAGCAAGTCTATTTTATTTCTAACGCTCCTACTGTTTGTATAGTATACATTTAAACCTACCCTTCCCTGGTCCTGTTTTACCCCTTGTCCTGAGTAACCAATTTTACTTCCCAGGACCTGCTTGTTTTTTGACTCCCACTTTCCCCGACCTCTCTCTACTGGCGAAACCCCCCTTTGGAGTGACAATTTCACGCTCCAGGGATGCAGACAACGTCTTTACCCCCGCACGAGACAAGTGTACTCCGTCACGACTGTACAGGTAGTCGTTGCCATAGAATCGTTGCCAGTTATCAATGAATGCCCAACCATTGTTTGCACAATGTTTTTCCAGTCGGCAATTTATAGCAATTGCCCTGGACAGCCATTCACGACCAACCCCTCTTCTAGGCAAGACACCACATACTATCGGGATCCCTCCCCTATCTCTAATCTTCCCCAGCGCCTCCCTATACCTCTTGAAAAGTTCCTCACTCCTAACCTTTCCTATGTCGTTTCCTCCCACACTAAGACACACTACTGGATTGGTACCCTCCCCTGACAAAACCCTATCTATCCTCTCAGCTACACGCCCTATCCCAGCCCCAGGAAAACACACCCTAGTCCTACGTTTCCTATCTCTTGCACAAAAGTCCTATCTAAGAACCTCACCTGGCTGTCCCCAACTACCATGACCTTACCACTGGGCAGGGTATGAACAACTGCCCTTTTCTCTCCTGGCACCACACCGTCCTGCCTCTTCTCTTCCTCACCAGCTTCCTCCAACACTTGGTAGGGGTTACTGCACTCAACACCCTGGTCAGCATTCCTGAGTCTGACCCTAGTCCCTTTGGAAGCAACCACTCTCTACACCTGGTCCTCCTTTGCAGGTGTCCTGCTAGGCAGGACACCTATCTGAAGGAGTTCAGTCCTGAGGGCTTCATTCTCCCCCTTTAGAGAGTCTATCTTTCTCCTCAACTGCTCCAGCTGACTTAACATTCCGCCCCTCTTCCCCCACAACACAACGATCCACGGCGGCCATTTCCTCTGGTTATTAACACGAACACTTAGGGGCACATCCTTCTCCAAGCTAGGTCAGGTAGGGTATGACCGGACGCAATGTCAGGTGGGGGTAGGGTGGGGGGATTAGTGGTCTCATGTTACTTATCTTCTGATGGAATGTTAGGTCACCCTTTATTGGGTAGGGGATTAGTGGGTGTCATGACCTGAAGATGTCTTGAATAACTACGAAGGCTAAAGAATTTTTAGGGAGATTCTGATAAGTATAAGTATCAGTGAGCAAAGTTGCATGACATACCACAAAAT